GAAATATAGGCCCCTTATTTTAGATGTGAGTAAACCATGGCCTGAGCCAAAAAATAAAAAGATTAAATGAATTGTTAAGAACTCTTAAATTTTCATTTAGTACTATTTTTCCATACCACGATGACTTTAAATTTGGCACATTATTCTGATATAAGTTCACAAAAAATTCTGGGAATTTTTACATAACAAACTAGCAGAAAGTAGTGCAAGTTAAAATATCCTATTTAGACAATGAACTAACAGGTGTCTATAAAAAGAACAAGGCAAAAATGATGTTAACTAAAGTTTTAAGGTTAAGTGTTCTAGATATGATAAAATAAAAATTGTCCTTGTTGATTTTCAGAGTAAGATTGTAGAAATTCTATGTAAATATGTTATTCTTCTACAGCATGTCCGGGAAAGGAATATTTCATTCATATTGAAAGCAAATTTTTTAAAGACAGCCAGTTTAAAAATGTTTCCAAAAATTAATTTCAAATTAATTTAACAGATTTAAACTTTGGAAAAAGCAAATGAAATAATTGAAATTTTCATAAATGTCAACTGGCAGATCTCCTAAGCACAGGAATTCCAGCCTTCTCTCGTGTTTTTCTTCAGCCCAGTCAAACCTTGGGCCAAAGTTATGCTGTGGACTTCCAGGGATGGTGATATCTACAGAATGCACAAAAAAGGATGCATAAAGTTATTACCATTTCTATTTCCCAACAGAGAGGCATCAGGGCAGACAGAGGAAACTAGATCCATAATTGTAATAAGGGCAAATGATGGAGCTGTTCTAATTGCCTCGCTTGTCCTTCTACCTGGAACATGAGCGGTGATTGGATAAAGTAGGAAAAATAAAACTAAGCACAAGTTTACCATATGCCAAGCACTTTACGAATATTAACTCATTTATTTCACTACACTACATATATCATTCTCCCCCTCTAAAAATAAAGAGTAAATAACTTGCCAAAAGTGGCACAGATAGGAAATGAGTGCTAGATTTGAAATTTGAAACTGTGTTTGTCTGGCTCCCAGCCTGTTTTTTCTTTCTTCTAGCTGTAGCATATGTTCTACACTCTGATTTAAATGAATGTAATTATTGGCAGCTATATATATGTATGAGTAAAATATGTAAGTTTACAATATCACCCTATAAATTGTGTGTATGCCTGTGTGTGTGTATACACATATATATGCAGAGTGTTCTCTCTATTGATAACACTGACTTTCTCCCTTAGTTCCTGGATTTCCACCAGTTACTCTTATTTTACATGTAGCATGCAAGAGCTTTGAAACTTAATCTTTTAATTTTCCCTGACCAAAGTGTTTCTGAAAAGGCAGCTGTGCTTAGCTTGTGATAAAATACAAGTGATAAAAGACAATCAGAGAACAATGATGTATTCACGGAAGGTGGAGTTTCAGCAGAAGTTGAGAAGAGTTGAGGAATACAAGACAAATCAATATCCTGTATTATTTTTATAATGTTACATTGTTAATTTCGAAGTGACTTTCCAAATTGCTAAATACACCTGCAGTCAATATTCAGTACAAAGATATATTTTAAGTTCAGACATAAGAGATATCTGAATGACTCACACCTCATCTTTATTAAGTTAACCTAGACAACCAAGAGTTGACTATGGTTAAATATGTTGAAGAAAATACATTCAATGCACCACTAACACTTGTCACATACACAGATACAAATGCAGCAAAATAAAATTCTAAAAGACCCTGGAATGCAATAATGATTGAAAAAATAATCATTATAGCCTTCACATTCAATGCACCACTAACACTTGTCACATACACAGATACAAATGCAGCGAAATAAAATTCTAAAAGACCCTGGAATGCAATAATGATTGAAAAAATAATCATTATAGCCT